TAGTGCCAGGAAAACATACTCGTTTTCCTGGCACTATAGTGCCCTGAGGGTGCCCCCACCCTCAGGGTCCCCCTCCCGCCCGGCTCTGGAAGGGGGAAAAGGGGTAAAACTTACCTTTTCCCAGCGCTGGGCGGAGAGCTCTCCTCCTTCTCTCCTCCTCCGTTCTGCCCCGTCGGCTGAATGCGCACGCGCGGCAAGAGCTGCGCATGCATTCAGCCGGTCACATAGGAAAGCATTCATAATGCTTTCCTATGGACGCTGGCGTGCTCTCACTGTGAAAATCACAGTGAGAAGCATGCAAGCGCCTCTAGTGGCTGTCAATGAGACAGCCACTAGAGGAAATAGGGGAAGGCTTAACCCATTGATAAACATAGCAGTTTCTCTGAAACTGCTATGTTTATAAAAGAATGGGTTAAGCCTAGCTGGACCTGGCACCCAGACCACTTCATTAAGCTGAAGTGGTCTGGGTGCCTAGAGTGGTCCTTTAATGCAACATTTTGCATAATTTAAGTTAATTATACAGCACAACGTGATGGTATTGCAGTGGGTGTGCAGTCAATAAATATTGGTTTATGTAGTATTGTGCTATAAATCAAAGATTTGCAAGATTATTTATTAAAGTGACAAATGCAGGGAATTAAAAGTGAATTTCAAGGTTATGGCCATAATTACCAAACTGGTTCTAAACTTCCAGTTCACCTACTTTGGCCTTAAAGGGTTAATCCAGCCGCCATGAACATTTCTGCTTTTAGAAGTGTTCAGTGTGGTAGAGGTCTATATGCAGGGCCGGACTGGGGATACAAAGCAGCCCTGGAAAAAAAATTTGAGCCAGCCCCATAAGTCACTGCGCCATATATTGTCGCGTGTAATATGTAAGGCTATGTCTTGCCAGGACAGATGATTGAGTAATATATATATTGCTTTTTCTAATATAAAATATTGGTCCTTTCAGGGTAAAACGTTTAATTATACAGTAAGCATACGCACATGCAGACACAGGCAATTTCACTGACATTTCAGTGACACACACAAGCTCATTGATACACACAGCTTAATGTGGTGGTACTGGTGTCTATAGCATGTCCCTACAGGCTTTTCAACGTAAACACTGACTTTTCAGACAAAAGGCAGTGTTTACATTGCTTCAAAGTGACACTGCTAGTGACAGTCACTCAGGCGGTCACTAGAGGTGCTTCCTGTGTTAGTGCCCTCCCGCGCTGCTGAATGAGACTGGCGCCGGAATATGACGTCATATTCCGGCGCCGGTCTCATTCAGCTGCGTGCTGGGGAGCAGAGCCAGCGCAGCTCGCGCAGCTCCCTCAGCGGCCGCCAGGACAAGTCCGCCAGCGGCCGCCAAAAGACCTCCCCAGCGGCCAGGGGAGGGCTGGCAGCCTTAGGCCTGGGGGCAAAACCAGTCAAGTAGACTGGTGCACCTGCCCAGGATCAGAGCCGGTGCAAGGATTTTTGCCGCCCTAGACAAAATAAAAATTTGCTGCCCCCACATGTCACATCACAATGCCCCACCCATATGATCTGCCATATGAACTAACGCCAGTGCTGCACACAGTGTGTGTTTACATTAAAAAGCCTGCAGGGACCAGCTATAGACACCAGAACCACTTCATTAAGCTATAGTGTCCCTTTAATGTGAGGTAAATTATAGATTAGTGTCACTAATAATATACTAGATTGCCTACTTACAAGCAGATGAGGATGATGATGGGCTGCAGTTTGGCTCCACTGGTCTGGTGTAGAACAGGATCTCTGGAGGCTGTTTGCAACTGTGGTCACAAAATTCAATGTTCTGGGAGAATTGGAAGCAGCTCCATTTTTTGGGGCCCCTTACACAGCTCAAGGTCTGGGCCCCAGGGCCTGACGGTGAGTATGCCCATAAGGCCCACTCATAAGTTCCACCCACCCATGAGTTCGCTCACAGGGAGTGGAGTGTGTAGGGGATGTGTTATGTGTTATTGTAGAGGATCTAATATGTGTGCTTATGGTATGTAGTGTTTAGGGTTACCAGTTTGTGCAGGTGATGCAGTGTGTTTGTGTGTAGTGGAAGCAGTGTGTATTTGTGTATAAGGGATGTATTATGTGTTTCTGGTTGTGTGTAAGGGATGCATTGTGTGAATCTGTGTTTGTATGCATAAGGGATGCAAGGTGTGTGTCTGTATGTGTGTGCATGAGATGCATTGTGTTTCTGTGTGTATGTAAGAAAAGAAGTGTGTGTGTTTGCATGCGTGTGTACGGGTTTGCATTGTCTGTTTCTGTGTATGTGTGCAAAGGATGCATTGTCTTTGTGTGTAAGGGTTGCATTGTGTGTGTGTGTGTAATGGATGCATTGTGTGTTTCTCTGTGTGTAAGGGAAGCATGTTGTGTTTCTGTGTATGTATAGGGATGCATTGTGTGTGTGTGTGTGCGCGCGTAGTGTGAAAGAGCTCCCTGTCTTGGCCCCTGTCCTATAGAGCTGTCCCTTCTTCTTATTCCCCCCCTCCCCTTCTTCTTATTCCCTCCCCTTTTCTTATTCCCCCCTCCCCTCTTCTTATTCCCCTCCCTCCCCTCTTCTTATTCCCCCCTCCCCTCATCTTATTCCTACCCTCCCCTCTTTTTATTCCCTCCCTCCCCTCTTCTTATCCCTCCCTCCCCTCTTCTTATTCCCCCCCTTCCCTCGCCTCCACTCTTCTAATCCCTCCTCATCTTATTCCCTCCTCTTTTTTCCCCTTCTTATTCCCCCCCCTCTTTTTATTCCCCTCCTCCCTCTCTTCTTACCCCCTCCCTGTAGCGTGGCCGAGCTGCACTCCGGTCCGCGGTGGCCGGCCGGAGTGATAGGAAGGTGCACACTGAGTGTGCACTTCCTGTCAGTCCGGCCGGTTACAGGAAACAGAAACTCCGCTGAACAGGAGTTTCTGTTTCCTGTAACCGGCCGGACTGACAGGAAGTGCACACTCAGTGTGCACCTTCCTATCACTCCGGCCGGCCACCGCGGACCGGAGTGCAGCTCGGCCACGCTACAGGGGAGGGAGGGGAGGGGAGAAGCTGCAGCCGCCTGAGGCTCTTAACAGAGCGCTCAGGCGGCTGCGGTATTTAAAGGGCCGGCCCCAGGTGCCGACGGCCCACCGGGAAATTTCCCGGTATCCCGGTGGGCCAGTCCGGCCCTGTCTATATGGGCAGTGTTTGTTTTAAAAGCTGCACATTCAAAGATATTTTCACTTGTGTTCGGAGGTTAGTGATACATGTGACTTAGGTAGTCACCTAGTGTCAATTCTGTGCAAAAAAACCAAGTCTGTCATCATCCCTGGTGACAGATGAGCTCAGCTTCTCCCCAACTAGTAAGCTTGCTCTTCTCTCGTTTCTTCTGTGCAGTTCTTTCCAGACCTCCCCACCTCTGTTTTGTAGATTTGAATTTTTTTTCTTAAACAATTGGAGGCCTCCCCGTCAACCTTTCCACTCCTTCCCCTCACTGGCTACAAGCAACGTGCTCAGAGCAGTTGATAATAGCCCAATCAAATGCTTCTCTTTGAAGCAGAATAGAGCCTCTGACTTTAAAGGAGACGTGGAGAGGATTGCTGGCAGCTTAGCCCGGCGCTGTATTTTAGGAAAGTTTAAATACTTTTCACCACATTTCTTTTGTGGAAACCTTGCAAATAATGCCCAGTATAGTATTTTAAATTGAAGAAGGGGGGGAAAAAATTATGAATTAATACACACACACATGCAGACACAAAAAAACTGTCACACGTGCCAGATATACAGACCAACCGATACACACACTGATAGGCATTCGGTTACATTGACAAAGGGATACACACACAAAAACACACACAAAAATGCAGATACACACACACATACTGACAGACGTGCAGATACAGTGAGGGGGAAAGTATTTGATCCCCTGTTGATTTTGAATGATTGTCCACTGACAAGGAGATTCTAAGTCTATAATTTTATTGGTAGGTGTATTTTAACAGTGAGAGACAGAATAACAAAAAAAAAAAATATCCAGAAAAAAGCATGTCAAAAAAGTTATAAATTGGGGGCGGGGCCTGACAGCAGAGCTGAGCAGACATGTTTGTCTGAGGCTCCAGCACTACTAAGACCAATCTGTTGCAATCCACACTGACAGAGGCCAGAACTGGACTTAATCTGTAACCCAAATGACAGAGGACCGGGGAAGCTATAAGGAGATACCAAATATGTGGTGTAACTCACCAGACCCACGAACTCAGAAGCCGCGGCCTACCAGCATGGATGGTGCAAGGGAGACGGCCGCTCCCAGACCAACATACCCAGCTGGACATGACCTTGTGGAACCCCGTTCTTACCCCCTACCCCCCATGGACCGGCGGGGGTCATCCCGGTCCCCATCAATCCAGAGCACACGGCTACACCGCATCTTGTCACCCGCCCGGGTGCCGATGGAAACGGCACCTGGACGAACAAAATGGCGGCCGCATCTTGGTCAACTGGGCCAGCGCCTCCTCATCAAGGATGGAACTATGAGGAAGAAGCGCACAAACGCCTGGACATGATATTTGCCAACTTCTGGGCCAAACTGTACCAGCAATAAATAAATAAAAGAGAGAGACAGTGCCAATGAACCTATTAGGCAGCAACCTGAGAAAGGGAATCCCCCTAAAACTCTAAAATACAGGATAAAAACAGAATATAAAAAGAAGGGCTGTGCCAAGCTAAATAAACAATATTCAGTGCAAATAATGGTAGTGGTATAATAAAAGTCCAACCTAAAAAAGTGTCCTCTCTGTCGTCCTAGGGTACAGGATCAGGGTCTTCAGGTATAATATAAAAGGAGAGAACAACCGATAGTGCAGATTGTATGTATCAAGCGAAGTAAAATTCGAATAATAGTAGCAAACTCACAAATTTTTAGAGCTTCTGTCCAGCTCTAGGGTAAAGCGCACACAGCGGTATAATCCCCGCTTATGGGATATGTGGTGAGTGTCGGTTCTTCAGTGGTATCCAGAAGCTCAAAGAGAACAGAAACAAGCCAGATAGTGCTCTCTGTATGGGTGTATATTGTAGGTAGAAATATATACACCCATACAGAGAGCACTATCTGGCTTGTTTACCCTAGGACGACAGAGAGGACACTTTTTTAGGTTGGACTTTTATTATACCACTACCATTATTTGGACTGAATATTGTTTATTTAGTTTGGCGCAGCCCTTCTTCTTTTTTATATTCTGTTTTCAAACTGTACCAGCGTCTGGCACAACCGTCATCCCCTGCAACGCGTGAGGTAAAGGAGCGGGGAACGGGACAGCGACAAATCAAGAGCACACCTCACCCACGGGCCCTACTACTCGGGCAGATGGCCAGCCCGGACTCACAAGAGACCGAGGACTCACCCTGAAGCACAGCACAAGCCGCAAACGAACACTTCGCCATCAGCGCTCTGGTTTACTGCGAGCACCCCCCCACAAAGGGTGTCACCGGCAGGCACAACGGCAAAGCAAAGATCATCGATGCGGCCGAAGCGCCGACCAGTCTGCAGCTGCTCTGAGGACACACTGAAGTCTACCACATCGAGAAGCTGGGAATCAGCAGAGACCTCTGTGACCGCATGGCACAAGAAACAGGCAGCACAAAAAGGGGCAAAATACCTCCACTACCCACTGTTCAAGCGGACTTGATCCTGCGGACCACAGGGAGCGAGGTATGCAATCACTAGACTAACTCCCCCTACGCCCCGGCGGGCTACATTGGCCCAAACAAGGGCCACAACACTTCAACCTGCAGCACATAATCTGGCTACAGGACTTTGTGAACCCACGGGCAGGTGTCAGCTAAAATGTCCCAACCGCAAGAACTCAAGGGCCACCAACCCCACCCACGGTCAACTGAAGGATATGGCGTGCAACCTCCACAAAACGAATGCTATCCTGCTTCTTACCATCTGATGTCTCTCTTTATAAATTACTAAAGTTCAGTTTACTTAGTTGACGCCAGTGTGTTTTTATCACAACACTTAATGTACCCCCAGTCGCATGCTCTTTATGCCCCAACACTACACTATAGGACACTGCACCCTTGGCGTTGTTTAACATAGATATATGGTACAACACTACAACCATGTCTATAACACATGTGCATGTTAAGCTCTCTCTAACTCATTACAGTACCTGCAGACCACATAGAAGCACATAGCCTAGGACTAAATCCCATGAAGCTCTGACACCTCACATAGCGAGCTAATTATTAACCTATGTCACATTCACAACACTCGATTAATCTCGCAAGCTACACTCATATAGTCAGCCGGAATAGCCTGATATGTTTATTACTTGATATGTTGTCGCACTATTGACTATCATCTTGTTTTCTCTTGATAACCCTTATACAAAAATGTGCACCAATTTACTATGCCACAACTGTTATATTGTTATGTCTATTTCAATACATGTTACTGCTGTTGTGGCACGACATGAAGACTTGTTACATTAACCCATGCACGAAAAATAAACAATTTATATAAAAAAAAAGTTATAAATTGATTTGCATGTCAATGAGTGAAATAAGTATTTGACCCCTTCGACTTAGTACTTGGTGGCAAAACCCTTGTTGGCAATCATAGAGGTCAGACATTTCTTGTAGTTGGCCACCAGGTTTGCACACATCTCAGGAAGGATTTTGTCCCACTCCTCTTTGCAGATCCTCTCCAAGTCATTAAGATTTAGAGGCTGACCTTTGGCAACTCGAATCTTCAGTTCCCTTCACAAATTTTCTATGGAGTTAAGGTTTGGAGACTGGCTAGGCTACTACAGGACCTTAATGTGCTTCTTCTTGAGCCACTCCTTTGTTGCCTTGGCTGTTTGTTTTGGGTCATTGTCATGCTGGAATACCCGTCCACAACCCATTTTCAATGCCTTGGCTGAGGGAAAGAGGTTCTCATTCTTTGATGCAGTGCAGTTGTCCTGTCCCCTTAGCAGAAAAATACCCCCAAAGCATAATGGGGTCATAAACAGCATTCCTTCTCCTCAAAACACGGTGAGTTGAGTTAATGCCAAAGAGCTAGATTTTGGTCTCATCTGAATTCAAACACTTTCACCCAGTTCTCCTCTAAATCATTGAGACGTTCATTGGCAGACATCAGACGGGCCTGTACATATGCTTTCTTGAGCAGGGGGACCTTGTGGGCGCTGCAGGATTTCAGTTTCTTTACGGCGTAGTGTGTTACCAATTGTTTTCTTGGTGAATATGGTCCCAGTAGCCTTGATATAATTAACAAGAGCCTCCTGTGTAGTTCTGGGCTGACCATTCTCATGGTCATTGAAACTCCACGAGGTGAGATCTTGCATGGAGCACCAGACCGAGGGAGACTGACAGTTATTTTGTGTTTCTTTCATTTGCGAAAAATCGCACCAACTGTTGTTACCTTCTCACCAAGCTGCTTAGCGATGTTCTTGTAGCCTATTCCAATCTTGTGTAGGTCTACAATCTTGTCCATGAAATCCTTGGACAGCTCTTTGGTCTTGGGCATGGTGGAGAGTTTGGAATCTAATTGATTGATTGCTTCTGTGGACAGGTGTCTTATATACCTTATATGTTACCGGTGTAAAAGAAACCTGGAAGCCAGAAGTCTTGCTGATTGACAGGGGATCAAATATTTATTCCACTCATTGACATGAAAATCAATTTATAACATGCGTTTTTCTGGAATGGTTTTTTTTTTGTCTCTCACTGTTAAAATACACCTACCATTAAAATTATAGACTAATCATTTCTTTGTCAGTGGACAAACGCTCAAAATCAGCAGGAGATCAAATACTTTTTTCCCTCACTGTACATACATTGACACACATGCAGATGCAAAGATACACAGATACACACACTGACACATGCAGACACACAGGTACCCATGCAGATACACTGAGGCATTGCCTAGAGCATAAACATAGAAACATAGAATGTGACGGCAGATAAGAACCATTCGGCTCATCTAGTCTGCCCAATTTTCTATATACTTTTATTCGTCCCTGGCCTTATCTTATATCTAGGATAACTTTATGCCTATCCCACGCATGCTTAAACTCCCTCTTAACATCTACCACTTCAGCTGGAAGGCTATTCCATGCATCCACTACCCTCTCAGTAAAGTAATGCTTCCTGATATTAATTTTAAACCTTTGCCCCTCTAATTTATGACTGTCTTCTTGTTGTGGTAGTATTTCTTATTTTAAATATATTCTCCTCCTTTATTATGTTGATTCCCTTTATGTATTTAAATATTTCTATCATATCAACCATGTCTCGTCTTTCCTCCAAGCTATACTTCTTAAGATCATTTAACTTTTCCTGGTAAGTTTTACCCTGCAATCCATGAACTTCTCTGAACTCTTTCTAAAGTATCAATATCCTTCTGGAGATACAGTCTCCAGTACTGCGTACAATACTCCAAGTGAGGTCTCACCAGTGCTCTGCACAATGGCATGAGCACTTCCCACTTTCTACTGCAAATACCTCTCCCTATACAACCAAGCATTCTGCTAGCATTCCCTGCTGCTCTATTACATTGTCTGCCTACCTTTAAGTCATTAAAAATAATCACCCCTAAATCCCTTTCCTCAGATGTTGAGGTTAGGACTATCAAATATTCTATACTCTGCTCTTGGGTACTTCCGCCCAGGATGCATTATCTTGCACTTATCCACATTAAATGTCAGTTGCCACAGCTCTAACAGTTTTTCTAGTTTACCTAAATCATTTTCCATTTTGCTTATCCCTCCTGGAACATCAACCATGTGCCAGGGTTCTTACCTGAGGTTGGAGTTTGTAGCGCAGATATATTTGCTCACCCTTGCAGATATCCAAGGTGACCAGGTAAGAATCCACCTGGACTGTGAATCTGTGCACTGAGGCTGTGCAGGAAAAGTGATTCCAATGCAGTACCTTAGTCAAAGGATGCCAGAGATCAGCATAAACTAAGTGTAGCCGAATTCAAGGGATGCCAGAGGTCAGAATAAACAAAGACACAAGCCGGGGTCAATATGGAGTATAAGTTCAAGAGACTGGAACACAGGAACTCAATACATACACCAGGATCAAAGACTTGATAACGTTCCCAAGACGAGCCAGTGCTTATATACCCAGCTGATTACTGATCTGTCTCAGGTGAACCACAGGCGATGACCACAGAAGAAGTTCAGCCCCCAGTGCTGCAGACATAACCAGGTAGAACAGGGCAAGAAATACTCCAAGGAATAGGAACTGCTGTGGCTTAAAGGCAGTAAAGCAGGTCTAGGACAGCAAAATACCCAGTTTCAAATCCCCTTTTGGGCACTTCTGGGGTAACCATGTCTGACCGTCTGGGTGTCATGGTAAGTACCGTGACACCATGTTGCAAATCTTTGTATCATCAGCAAAATGACATACCTTACCACCAAGACCTTCTGCAATATCACTAATAAAAATATTAAAGCGAATGGGTCCAAGTACAGATCCCCAATGTACCCCACTGGTAACAAGACCATGCTTCGAATATACTCCATTGACTACAACTCTCTGTTGCCTGTCGCTCAGCCACTGCCTTACCCATTCAACAATATTGGAATCCAAACTTAAAGTTGCAGTTTATTGATAAGCCTTCTATGTGCAACAGTGTCAAAAGCCTTACTAAAATCTAGGTAAGCAATTTATACTGCACCATCCTGATCTATTATTTTAGTTATCCAATCAAAAAAATAAATTAGATTAGTTTTGCATGATCTCCCTGAAGTAAATTCACGTTGTCTCTGATCTTGACATCCATGTGATTTTAGATGTTAAACAATCCTATCCTTTAACATGGTTTCTAGTACTTTTCCCACTACTGAAGTAAGGCTTATTGGCCTATAGTTACCTGACTCCTCCCTACTTCGTTTCTTGTGAATTGGCACAACATTCGCTAAATAACACGGCCTCCGTCGGGCTACCTTCTTCCCATATTGCATCCTGCTGCCATCTCTTCAACAGGTAAATGATGCACATGCATTTGGTAATCCACCTGATCTAAAATAAATTTTTTATTCATCAGACCAAGCAACCTTCCTCCATTTCTCCATTGTCCAGTTCAGATGCTCATAT